ATAAAATATATTATATATTATAATTAATTAATGAAAGGCTCGTATGAATTAAACAAAATTAAACAATCATATATAGTAGGCCAACTAAACGAGCAAATAAATAAGATGTAAAATTTTTTTTATTAATAGTTAAATCATTAAATTAACATTCCGTTACAGAATCGATATAAATTGTAAACGTTCGACTGCACTACAGTCTTTATCAATACATAAAAATTAAATATTAAAATATAAAGTTAGATGTTAAAAATACAAAGTTAGTTAAATATTAAAATATAAAATTGAAACGATTCTTCGCTGTTGACCAATAGATATGCAAGGCGATTGGTCTGAGATGCCAAGTTATGCGACATTTGAGCATGCTACGGATATAATACGCGAATTAAATCAATGTCAGAAAATATTAAAAAATCTTTCAACTTACATTATCGTTTTAACAAGTCCTTTTCCCCGATATTTCAAGTGTGTGTTGCGAAGTCTGATACCAAATGTCAAAATAGAGAGCGTGATGTATTTATTTATTACCAATGTTTTTTCTAAATTATGATTCAGCAAATTTTTTAAGTATGTCAAAATAACTACTGTCTAACAATTCGGTGTCTGTATTTAAATTAATTCCATTTTTCTGTTCTTTAATGTGGATCATTTCAGATATTAGTCTTTTTTGGTAATTCTTTTCATGATCCATAATTTAATATTGTCCCAGTCAAATGTATGTTGTTCGTTTAAAAGTGTTCCGTGATAACCGAATGTCTAGCAGAGTCTAATTTAATATTATTTTTATGTTCTTTAAGTCTCGTTCCTAACTGTCTTTTTGTCTGTCCGACATATGTGGCGTCACAATCGTTGCAATTCAATTTGTAAATAACGTTAGAATTCGTGGGGCAATTATTTTTGTCCTTTTGAACTCTTATGAAGTCATTTAATTGTTTTAATGCAACGATATCCTACCACTACGTCAGGTCTTCTTATTGCTGAAGCAACTTTCTCAGATATTGGTTCTATATATGGTATGACAAAATATTTAATGTTAGTATTAGTATTATTAGTATCTGTTATATTGTTATTATTAGGCTTGTTAAATTTCTTAGTTGAGAGATTTTTTAATCTGCGTTTTATTTCTGTGAAAATTAGATCAAGAGGATAACCGTTAGATAGCAAAATGTTAATAGCTTTCTCTATATTTTTTTTGTGAAATTGCGGATGTGATAGTAATAAAGCTCTATCTACCAAGTTATAAATTGTTCCTATTTTATGACAAGTCGGATGATTTGAAAAAATGAAAGTAATCTACCTGAGAATGTCTTTTTGTGATACCAATCTAAATAAATTTTGTTATCTATTACTTTGATCATTATGTCTAAAAGCTTATACAACGATTATCCTCCTTTTCCAATGTAAATTGTAGTCTATCGTTATAATTGTTGAATTCGTTCAAAACATATGTAATATTGTCAGCGGAAGTGCATAATAATGTCGTCTACATAACGGAAATAGAAAGTCATTTCGCAATTTAAATTACTAATTACCAATGTTTCCAAGTCCTGCATGACTATATCGGCAATGATCGGAGAAAGTGGGGAACCCATAGGAGTCCCATAAATTTGTTTGTAAGTTATGTTATTAAAAGTGAAAAATGTAGAAGTTAATATAAATTTTATCATACCTATGAATTCATTTTTGGGAATCTTTGTGTGTGACTCTATAAAATGCCATCTATTATTGATGCCGTTTAATGCAAGATCTACGGAAACATTAGTAAATAATGAAACAACGTCCAATGAAGCTATTATGTCGGTATCTTGTATTGTTTTCCCTGATAGAATGTTGCATATATCAAAAGTTATTTACAAAACTGTCCGCTCTAGGAAGGCTATCTTTTAAAATTTTTTGAAAGAAGAAGCAATATTATATAGAGAAGTATTTATTGAGGAAACTATTAATCTAAAAGGAATATTTTCCTTGTGGATCTTGGGAGCCCATAAGAAGCTTAGGAAGAAGAGAGTCGCTTGAAAATAAATAATAATATTCTTTTTGTTGATGAAGTCTTTTTTCAACCATTTTTTTAAACAAATATTGAGGTCTTTTTCTATTTTTGTTGTTGGATTGTTTTTAACTATGGTATACGTAGAATCGTCTTCTAGGAGACTCTCAAATTTTTTTATATAAAATTCTTTTCTAGTGCGACTGTAATTTATAACTTGGTTAGATAGAGCTTTATTACTATCACATCCGCAATTTCCACAAAAAAATATAGAGAAAGCTATTACATTTTGCTATCTAACGGTTATCCTCTTGATCTAATTTTCACAGAAATAAAACGCAGATAAAAAATCTCTCAACTAAGAAATTTAACAAGCCTAATAATAACAATATAAAAGATACTAATAATACTACAAAACATTATAATATTTTGTCCATACCATATATAGAACCAATATCTGAGAAAGTTGCTTCAGCAATAAGAAGACCTGACGTAGTGGTATCGGATATTATTTTCATTAAACAACAATTAAATGACTTCATAAGAGTTCAAAAGGACAAAAATAATTGCCCCACGAATTCTAACGTTATTTACAAATTGAATTGCAACGATTGTGACGCCACATATGTCGGACAGACAAAAAGACAGTTAGGAACGAGACTTAAAGAACATAAAAATAATATTAAATTAGACTCTGCTAGACATTCGGTTATCACGGAACACATTTTAAACGAACAACATACATTTGACTGGGACAATATTAAAATTATGGATCATGAAAAGAATTACCAAAAAAGACTAATATCTGAAATGATCCACATTAAAGAACAGAAAAATGGAATTAATTAAATACAGACACCGAATTGTTAGACAGTAGTTATTTTGACATACTTAAAAAATTTGCTGAATCATAATTTAGAAAAAACATTGGTAATAAATAAATACATCACGCTCTCTATTTTGACATTTGGTATTCAGACTTCGCAACACACACTTGAAATATCGGGGAAAAGGACTTGTTAAAACGATAATGTAAGTTGAAAGATTTTTTAATATTTTCTGACATTGATTTAATTCGCGTATTATATCCGTAGCATGCTCAAATGTCGCATAACTTGGCATCTCAGACCAATCGCCTTGCATATCTATTGGTCAACAGCGAAGAATCGTTCAATTTTATATTTTAATATTTTATTTAACTAACTTTGTATTTTTAACATCTAACTTTATATTTTAATATTTATTTTATGTATTGATAAAGACTGTAGTGCAGTCGAAACGTTTACAATTTATATCGATTCTGTAACGGAATGTTAATTTAATGATTTAACTATTAATAAAAAAAAATTTTACATCTTATTTATTGCTCGTTTAGTTGGCCTACTACTATATGATGTTTAATTTTGCTTATATTATATTTTTTAATAATAAAATATAGTTGATCTAGGATAGATGTGAATTATTCAGTGTGACATAAATCACCACGCCACGTTGTTTAAAAAATTGTATAAAAATATTCTTAATAATGTAATTTTTGATTAAAATCGTAGGCAATTTCTTAAAGTAACGCAAATAATTAGATGATTGATCCAATGTGTTCTCTCGTGTGCTAAATCACATAAATTTATACTACATCTTAATTAAAATTGCATTATTAAGAAATTTTTCTATAATTTTTGAAACAACTTGGTGTGATTTATGGCACACTGAATAATTCATCCATCCCAGATAAAAATATATTTCGAATTAATTATTAAAAAAATATGATATATATCATTCTGAAAAAATCGAATACAGATGGTGAAGAAAAACTACACCTAGTTGACATATCACCTATATCTCGCAACGAGAATATCATTTTACCCTCCTTCACGCATCGCGTCGTAAATCGAAATTAAGCCCACCTTCCGATACGACGAAAGTCGGACGACGCACCCTGCTGAAATAAGAAAAAAAAACGTATCTCTCTCCCTCTCATCCGTCTAATTCGCGAAATCATTCAATCATAGAGCAAGAATCCGCTATCGAGCGCCGTCGAATGATTCGGCGAAACCGCACTAGACCGCGATAATTCGTCGCGGGTAACCACGGGTGGATAGAGAGACAACGGGAAAACGTCAACGTCGCGTCGTAAGGACGTAGGTGGATGGAGAATATGGCTCACTCCACTTTGGTCTCTCCTCTAGGAGAGCTCGTAAAGATAAGCCACCGCCCTAGTACCTACGTCGAACACGATGGGAAAACTTACACAGACGCACGCAACACGTGCGCACACAAAAACGCATATATACACATAAGGACGATACGTGCACGCAGAAACACGAAAGACCTCGAGTCCACCCTTCTGACGCGCGACGTTCCGTTGGGATTTTCCCTGAAGGTGTAAGGTGTGTATCCTAATTCACGGGATATACAGGGTGCTTCGAAATAACAGTCAACTCGCGCGTGCAATTCGTACTTTACGAGAGTGAATAG